AAGTGCTGTGATTACAGGCGTGAGCCACCGTGCCTGGCCATTAAAAAGGGTTCCTTTCTAAGCAAAAACACCCCAACACCTTGTAACTGGAAGTCTAACCAGGCAAAACCTAGTAGCAGCAGGTACAATACTAGGGCTGTACCAACAAGTGCAATCTCCCTGCTTAAACATAAAACTAAAGGTGGTAAAGAGAGCCAAGTGAATATTTGACCTCACCTGTCTCCTGAGAAGTTTGCGTATTTTGGGCTGAAGCCATGTTGCAGAGAAAGACATTTGGTCAAAGAGGCGCCTTGGCTGTGTCTGGCTGGCTGAAGCTGCCATTCCTGGGCAGCCTGCTTCATGGCTGCTTTAATGGAAGCTTTGCCCCCTTATGCAAAGTACTTACGGATTAATTCAGAAATGTTCAATTCGACTTCGTAAATGACAAATACTTTAACAGCAGCTTCTCAAAAACCACCAGTGGAGACAGACCACCCCTTAGTTGAGGATCACAGCTCCTTCTAGTCTGTGAACTTCTTGCTGGACTTCCGCAGCAGCTCATTGGTCCTGGAATAAGTGTCTGCATCCAAAGAACTCTCTATACACCAACAACCAGAAGAGAGAAGCCACCTGCGGTACACAGTGCCACCTCCTATCAATGGCACTGCCCTCCTCCTGAGTATAAGAGCCCACAGCAAGAAGACAAGGCCATTTAGTTCGGATTTAGCCAGGACACAACTGCATTGGCAAATGCTCCCAGCCTCTCTTAGGAGAATTGGCTTGATGGGTCTGCACAGTGAAGACAGTGAATAGAACACCTTTTTTGGCCCACCCAGATAAATCTGCATGGCCAGGATGATCCAAACCATCTGTCTGTAGGCAGCTCTTCATAAATGTTTTCCAAACTACGCAGAGGTCGCACAGGTCTTCGGACACTAAAGCAGCGTCGTGGGCTTGATGGGGTCTGTGATATGGGTCCTATCCCAGGATGACAACCTTAACACCTCCTATGTCACGTATCTGGGTCCAGGTGAAGACTTAGTGTTGGGGAGGATAAACAGTGTAATATTTTCTTTCTTCTGCAACAAATCCCATTCGTTTTATAGAATACAGTTTTCCGAACTCTCCATTGAGGTGTTTCTTCCAGCTCTCACCAAAGACCACAGGCATGGTGTGGGCCGCGAGCCTGAGTAGCGCCGCAGCCTTAACTGTCTGGATGTGGAACAACTGTGCCCGGCTCAGTGGTGAGGGCCGCATGCCTGGCTTGGGGCTATGGGAATGTCACTCCCTGGTGAGGCTTAGGAGAAGTAGTAGAGGGTCTCTAGGTCTTCTGGCCGATCATCCTGGAGCAGAGGAGGAGCAAACGTGCTGCCCAAAGATCCGCGAGGCTCGCGTTGGGTGTGGCCGTCAGCAATTGGTGCAAACCATGATAATCAGTTTAAAATTCGTTCTTATTTTTGTGCTGTAGATTTTCATCAGTGATTGCTAATCTTCAGTAAGTATCTGTTATACCCACAGCCTTGAATTATTAGTGCCTTGCAGAATGGAGAGGGAGCTACCTTTATTAAATAATATGCCTTAAATACTTAGTGCCAGTGGCTGCCCCGGAGTGTATGCATTATGTAAATGTTAGCTAATATCATTAAATCTGGGGAAGAGCGAAATCTGCCCCAGATCAAAGAAGAGAGAGGTGATAGTTGGAGGAAATCAAGGAGGAGATGAGAGGAGTTTGGAAAGAGAAGGGACAAATAACACTGGGGACATTTAAACTCTCATCTTTACTTCCTCTGGCCCTCAACTTGCCCTACCCAAATCCTGAGGAACACTGGGGTGCATGCCTGGCTTCAAGCAGCTACTCAGATAGTTATTATCCTGGGATATTAAAAGAAAAGGGGACCCTAGAAGACCAAAGCCTTGTGACAATGGGGAACCTAGGTAATTAGTTCTCACAACTTGTTCAAGGGGACTCTGGACAGGTAAGGATAGAAGAATAGTGGGAAGGAGAATAGTCTCCAGAATATCCAACTTAATATTATGCTCTTATTTGGCTAGTATCTCTTTTGTGTACCTGATATTATGTGATCTGGTACTGACTAGGCTAGACTATTCTCCGTGTTCTGCTAATGACAGAGATCTCTTGAAAGCAGGAGGCCACTGACCTGGTCTGAGTTCTCCCTTGTACATGATTGTATTTTACAATAAAATGATTCCGGTTGCTTTGAACTAAATAAAACACAAAGCTTTGTTTATTTTTTGCCTTGTTTACTCCAAAAAAGCTATAAATTATTTTCCTTGCCTTTAATCTTTTCCTAAAGTCCAAAATGCTCAGCATGGTATTGACAGACTAGTTTTTCTAGAATAATGCTTTACTGCCAAGATTCAAAAATTGCTTCATTGCATTTAGTAGATTGAGTTCTACCTCAGGCTGGATACATCCCTACCATAGCTTGGCTTAACCATCAGTTTTATCTCTGGATGTTCATGAATCCTTCACCCAGGTCAGTCTGATCTCCTGCTAGCCCAACATACCACTTTTACTCTTTTTTTCCCCACCCTACATTCCCTTCTCATGGCTGAGCCAAATTTTACCCCACCTCCAGGTCTCAGCTGACGGCCATCTTTCCTGTGAAAATTTCCCAAGTGTTTTAGTCCATACTGATTTTTTCCCATGCAAGTTATGTTGACATTAGTAATCTGGATTCATCAATCAATTGAACAAGTATTTGTTAAGCACTGACAATATGTCAGGAACATAATGCAAAGTTATTATGTGATTATGTGCTCATTTATATTTCTCACTTATATGTTTATGTACGTATCTCCAAGAAAACCTTAAGGATTGTAATCATTTTTATTTGTTTTCTCAGAATCAGGCACAAAATTGGAATGCAAATAAACCTTTTTTTTTTTTTTTTTTTTTGAGATGGGATTTCGCTCTTGTTGCCCAGGCTGGAGTGCAGTGGCGTGATCTTGGCTCACTGCAACCTCCGCCTCCCAGGTTCAAGCGATTCTCCTGTCTCAACCACCCGAGTAGCTGGGATTACAGGTATGCACTACCACGCCCAGCTAATTTTGTATTTTTAGTAGAGATGGGGTTTCACCATGTTGGCCAGGATGGTCTCGATCTCTTGATCTCGTAATCCACCCACTTCAGCCTCCCAAAGTGCTGGGATTACAGGCATGAGCCACGGGGTCCAGCCAACCTATCTTTAATTGACTAAATTATATCTATGATAAATTTAAATAGGATAATTAAACAGGTCATTTGTTAATTTGTCAGTTTATGATCACTAACCATGTTAGCTGGGTGACAGGCCTTATATTAATAAGCATTACTCTTCATATGTCTGACCTCATTAAATTTGGCATAGTGACACTTTGTTCAAAAATTTATTAATAATTCATTTTCATAGCTCGAAAAAGGACATAATCAGTAGAACAACTAAAAACAAAACCTCACCTCTACAGAGATAGCCAGTGTATAGACTTTATTACATAGGCACATATTAAAAAAAAAAACTGGTTTTACATAAAATTAGCCACAATAGTGCAAGAGGTTACACTGAATGAGGATGGATGATGAGTGATGGAAAATGCAAGGCTTGGATCAGCTGAATCATTCACTGGATCTTGGGTTCATTCATCCTGACACATTGAAATTTATTACAGACATTACAAGAATGGAGGGTGAGGAATGGTGCTTCTCTGTCACCACCTGGCTAGACCACTGATTTTGATTAATCTCTTGAATATGGTAGTTTTCTCCAGGTTCTCTTGGCAAGTAGATATAAAAGTTAAATGAATGCTGGCTTAAGGTCAGAGGAGTTCATATCCTTCTCTTCCTTCACCCCTATACTTTAGAACTCTCACATCCAACAGTTTGCTGTTGGGACCTGACTGTACATATGCTTTCCCTGAACTGCTCTGGTAGAACACCACTGGGGTTGCTGATCCAAAGCACAAGGAGGCACAACAGTGCTTGAGGCTTCAGTCACAGTGTGGGGCTAGATGGCATCCCCAACTAGAATTGAGGGTTTGATCTGTGGGAGAACACAAGCAAACAGGAAGAGGATGCTGGAATTCCTTACTCTGTCCAGCTGGAATCAGTCCAACACATCTGACTACCACAAGGACAACCAGAAAAGAAACTAAAATTATACACTCAAACATACCACAAAAGAGATGCTATTTTGTAGCTTGTACATAGTTTTTTTTTTTTTTTTAACTACAATTTGATGTTACTAAGAGACAATGAGGATGAGGAGGGGACTGTCCCTTTTCTCTCATCTGGTTTTGCCATAACTTACAAATAGTCCCAGGATGTTTACTGTCTTCCTTCAATTTTCACAACATTTTATACAAAATGACATATATATATATACCTCATTGATTATCCTAGCATCCCCAGAACCTGGAGGGTTAGACCTACTTCTGTGTCAAGTAGCACCCAAATCCTAACATCCATTTTGGAGACCTGTCTGTGCCTCTTCATGCTCACACCATTGTTCTGATGCATGATGCCGGTGGAACTTCCAAAGACGCATTCCACCTGATCTTCACCACCCTCTTTGATCCTCTTTTTAAATCTGTGTGTGGAAGACAACTGCAAAATAGAGGATTTGGAAGGTTGTCTGTTTCTGTTGTCTGGGGAAATTATTTAAAAAAAAAAAAAAAGATGTGAAAAAGAAAAAGATGGACCAGCTGAGTTTTCCAACCTTCAAAATTTAAATTTCTTGGTTCTTATAAACATAGGAATAGTCATGAAAGGTGGCACCAACGGGTATTTTGTAAAATAACCCATAACTTTAGAGCTGGAAAGGACTTGAAGAAACAATTAATCCAACTTCCTCACTTTGTCGTCTCAGGTAACTGAAGCCCAATTGGGAAAACAGCAACTTACTTAACATAGTGATTGTCTCCATGGCTATGTCCTTTAAAGATTCACAGAAACCCCAATTTCCCCTTAATAAATCCATTATGGCATGCCTATGAGTGACTTTATATAAACAATCCTCAATGTCCTCATATCTAGCCTTTCCTCCCTTTAGGGAAGCTGGCTGCTAACACAGCACCTGACCAGAGTAGACACTTGATAAATATTTGTTGACTTGAATTAATCCTGGCGTCTATCCTTTTTTACTATGCAATCTTTATTTTTTCCTAGGGCTTCTTACTTTTAACTTTAAGAGATGGCTTCTAGTTCAAGTATTTTGAGGCTTGGTACCCAATGCTGATTTGTCATCTCTCTAGATTTTACTTTTTCATATTGAAATTCTTTTTTTAGTCTGTTCTCTTAATAGCTTTTGTTACATCCAATGATGTAATGATCCAATGATGTAATGATCCAATGATGTAATGATGTAACAATGAGTTTGGTAGTGCCTTTCTCCAGGCACTACCAAACTCATTACTATGGATAGTTTCTGCCTTTACAGGCTTAGAATTGCCAAGTTGAGAGAGACATTTTTTTTTTTCAATTCTTAAAGCAACTAGACTTTCTCCAGCAGATTTGCTAAGGCACACTAGAAGAAATGTAAAAATCTCACATTCTTGTTTTAGTTAATACATGGGAGAATATTACTAATATGTACATTTGCTTTCTACATTTGTGGTTGCCTTATACATCTCCTTCTCCTTTAATTCCTTAAACACATAAATATGAGTCATGATATCTAAAGCCAGTCTCATTTAAAAAAGATAAGAAATGGTGATTTGTGGGGAATTAGCACTTAGACGTTGGTAATGTTTAGAAATCATCTTTAGGAACTTGGTGAGAATGCTCTCATTTTATGTAAAGAATTGTCATGGTTTGAATGGGACTTGGTAGTAAAGTGTGTGGACAATGCATTTACCAAATGATATTTTTTTGTGGATTTAATTTTTTGTTAGTTTTGTTTGAAATTCCTGTTAAATTGCATTCTGGACATGACCTAAGGCTAGCTTGTCCACCCCTTGGCCCATGACGGTTTTGAATGTGGCCCATGACAAATTCATGAACTTTCTTAAAACATGCTATTTTGGCCAGGCACGGCAGCTCATGCCTGTTATCTTAGCCCTCTGGAAGGCTGAGGTGGGTGGATCACCTGAGGTCAGGAGTTCAAGACCAGCCTGGCCAACATGGTGAAATCCCATCTCTACTAAAAATATAAAAATTAGCCAGGCGTGGTGGTACATGCCTGTAGTCCCAGCTACTCAGGAGGTTGAGGCAGGAGAATCACTTGAAGCCGGGAGGCGGAGGTTGCAGTGAGCCAATATCGTGCCACTACACTCTAGCCTGGGTGACAGAGTGAGACTCCGTCTCAAAAGAAAAAAAAAGAAAAAAAACACTAGGCATGCTTTGAAAGCTCATCAGCTGTTGTTAGTGTTAGTGTATTTTATGTGTGGCCCAACCAAGACAATTCTTCTTCCTATGTGGCCCAGGGAAGCCAAAAGATTGGACATCCTTGACTAAGGTCTAGATATGCTGGAATTAACATATAATCCTCGTTTTTAGAAGAGTTACAGTTGTCATTCCAACTGGGAGAATTTCTATAAGTAGGCTGGATGGTAGTGCTTCCTACTTAAACCAATTTAATATTCCCAAGGCTTTTAAGAAAAACCTTCAGCTCATTCTGTTTTCCCACCACTAAACTTATGGTGAAATATATATCACCTCTGAAATCATGATTTTATCTCACAAATTTCAACCTTACTATCTCAGACCTCCGTCTCACTGTGGTGACAAAATAAATGCACAGTAACGGTCAGTGGTTAATGCTGGAAGAACAAAGACCTAGTGCTTGAAGACTGGTTGTGCACTCTTATCAAATGCTTTCTTTTCCTACTGACCATTGAAATGGGCAAGGCCCAGGCTCATAGATCTGTTTGACTTGCGGGAACAAAGCAATCAATCACCGTGACTATGGACAGCATCTATGCTACTATGCTTTTGGGCACAAAAATGTTTTTCAATGTGAATGAGGTACATTGTAGTTCAAATTCAGCAGCATATTAAGTGCCTAAGTGCTGACAGGTTTTATTACTCGACTCTGGAGGCAGGAATAAAAGGAAAGCAAAATTATTTAAGTCCTTCAGGAAATAAAAGCATGCTTGCTGGCTTTATTATGAGTAGCTGATGATAAGGGTTAAGTAGCCGTAGAGTCTCAGGGTCAGTATTCTTTCAGCAAACATTTATTGAATCCATACTCATTTTCCTTTATTTCATGAGAATACGTTTGCCCTATCGGCAAGCATTTAAGGTGGCTGAACCCTATTATATTCCAAGCTTTGTGCTAGGTGTTGGAAACACAAAAAATTATATACATTCCTTGCTTTCATGGATCCCATTTCTCAGAAACATAAGTTTCTAGGGAAATAAACTCTTACTCCCAGGTACTGGATTTGAATAGAAATCAGTCTCATTTCAAATAAAAAATATTTTAAATCAAACAGTATTCTCAAGGATTATGAACCCTCCCAATAATGCAAGAAGGCACAGTCCTAAGGGAAGAGCCAAATAGAAAAAAATGAAACTGTCCAGATAATATTTAATATGAATGAAACGCAAACTTTTGATAAGGAATAACTAGTACTATGTCTGCAAGAGCAGGCAAGGGGGATCTAATGGTATCCCCACAAAGTGCCTCACATTGTCTTGTCTGACATGTCAAAATGAGTACATTTCTTATCTTTTTGCTATAATGTCAAAAAGCAGGCCCTAGACTCAAAAGAAAGTACAGCTCTTGATACCATGTGATATCGAATTTATGTTCTAAGAGTAATACTATATACTGGTAAAATGAATTCATTTTTACTATTTTCACATTATTGATAAAGATTGTGACCACAAGAGGAAAATAAAAGTCCAGGTTCAGGGTGGCAAAAGTAGAATCTGCACATCCACTGGTAATTTGCCCAACTGTTTTCTATGTAGGCTATTACATAGCCCACTTGTGTTTTCTATAGAAGTTATTTAAAACTAGTAAAACACTCCTTACATCTAAAAATATATAGTATTATAATCCCCAAGCCCCTAAATGCTACCCATAATCAGTTTCCTAAAAACAGTAGAGGGAAAACAAATTTGATGAAATTAAGATGTTAGGTTTTTAAAAATTAATAACAATTTATGGGTCCGGTATGGTGGCTCACACCTGTAATCCCAGAGCTTTGGGAGACTGAGGCAGGCTTATCACCTGAGGTCAGGCATTTGAGAGCAGCCTGGCCAACATGGTGAAACCCTGTCTCTACTAAAAATACAAAAATTAGTGGTGCATGGTGATGGGCGCCTGTAATCCCAGCTACTCTCAGGAGGCTGAGGCAGAAGAATTGCCTGAACTCGGGAGGCAGAGGTTGCAATGAACCAAGATTGCACCATTGCACTCCAGCCTGGGCAACAAGAGCAAAACTCTGTCTTAATAATAATAATAATAATAATAATAATAATAATTTGCTTGCAGAATATAGATAACATAGAAGGATTTTTCCCAACTCTTGGTAAAAAAAAAAAAGTCCAGGTGCATGTACACCGGAAACGAGAATTTACCATGGCGGGGGAAAATAAGTTCCAACAAGCAATCCACATGTGATGCTAGCAGATGAGGCAGAGATCTTGACGGAGTGCTAAGCCTTAGTGACTAAGGAAGGTGCTGGGATGAGCTTCATTTCCCTTGCCAACTCTCCAGTCCATTTAGATGTTCTATGAGGAATCAATCTCAAAAGCCTTTAGTACAACAGGGGAAGAGATATGCTTTGAAATCCCTTGATAAAAACCTCAAAGGAACTCCACTGTATTTCAAAGAGCATGAAAAACCACTTCTGAAGAAAAAGACAAATGAAGTTAGAGAGTCTTATTACTATTGAGACTAAACCTATATTTAGAAGGAATCTTGGTAGACATATAGAGCAAATCCAATGTAAGATTGCCTTTCACAGCACGTGGGATAGGTGGTTATTTTAACCATTGGGCATTCACAGGAACAGAAAATTTTGCTAACTTGAGTCTATTCCTCTTTAGAACAACTCTTATTAGAAAATTCTTCCTTATATTGAAGCAAACATTTGTCATCTGTGAAGTTCCTCTTTGTTCTTATTTTTGCCCTTTGAAGCTACACAGAATAAGTCTAATTCCTCTTCCTTTTTATAGCTCAACAGAAATTTCGAGGCAGCTATTATATCATTCCCTCCTTGTCTGCACTCCCTTTCCAGCTATACCTTCTGTTCCTTCAGGGAAGCTATCCCTTTGTTCTTGTATCATCAGACCCTTTACAACCCTGGTCACCTGCCTGTGGACACAATCAACTTATTAATGTCTGTCTTAAAATATGATACCCATAATTGAAGTCAACCCTCCATTTAGATATGGACTAGAGGGAGGGTTAATGAAAGCATGCAAGGCTTTTATTAACACCAGCTGAACACATTAGCTTTGTGAATAGCCATGATGTATTTCTGAGTCAACACTGAACCTCCATTTCTGTAAGGAAATATTTCTCTATAAAGTACTGTGAAACCAGGTCTTCCTAACACTATTCCCATCAACACCACACACATCCATAAATACACACTCCACTCTGTACTTTGCATTTAAAAAACCCAGAATATAGAGTTTCTCATTAATGCCTATTCAATCATTCTTTTACTTTCAGTCTTAGTTCAGATATTTCATAATACTGTAACTATTTCTATATCCCAGTGTCAATACATATTTAGAATCCAATGATTGTTCATTGAATACATTAATCTTGAATCCATCAGCCAAAAACTGGAGATATTGTTCATTTCTGCATCATCTACAAATCTGACAAAGTGTGCTTTCTGTCCCCCCACTCTATTCTTCATGGGAGAAAACACCAAGATACAAATAAGAAGAGGTGAGTAGGAATGGATGAAGGAAAAGATTAAGTGTCCCAGAAACAGATGAAGAAAAGGAAGATGGAGTGAGTGTTCTGACTCTTGGAATCAGGATATAATGTTCCCAACATTAGAAAAATATGGCTTTTCCCTGTCTCTATCCTAGAGATGCCTTTTCAATCCATTACAATACTGTGATTATCAAACTCTGAATTTTGGGGGAAAGCTCATTCAAGCTTAATTTTAAAACAGCTTTAAAAATTATCTTTGCAGCTTAAATTTCCTATAAAGTCTGGGTTAAAGGGACATGCAACTGTTTATTGGTCATGAGGTATAAAAAGAACTCCCAAACACCCCTTACAAATGCCTGAGGTATTATAGATATTTGTTTCAGGAATCAGAAATGGACTGTATTTTTCAGTGTGAATTTGGGAATTCGCTGAGATTAAATCTACCTCTTGAACTGAACATCATCTTACATTTAATGTCTCTTTTCTCCAGAATGAAGAAAACTAAGCTTAATTTTGGCTTCCCCTCAACAGCCATTTTGCAGAATGTGGGTCCATTCACAGAATTAAAAAGTCTCCTATTGTGCCTTTTTCCATTGTCTATTGTGACTCAGGATAGCAAATCCTGTGACTGAAACCTTAGAGAGATGGAAAAAGTGTTCCAGTCTAAACAATCTAGAGCCAGAAGGGAAATGTCTTGGAAACTCAACATTTAAAGAATGGAGACACCTCAAAAAGGTCTAGTGAGACCCAAAGAGGAAATTTGTTTTGTACCTTTTCTGAGCCTTTTCTAGACGGAGTGAAAGAGATGGATTCTTAATTAACTTCTCAAGACTGCCTTTTCCGGAAACTTACGCGAGTGACAGATGAACATCAGAAGGGAATCGTGCTAACACTGATGTGGGAGGTTCTTTTCCTGACTGTAACAGTCACAACAAACCACATACCAGTGCTGTGAGATAAGCAGAGACAAGACAAGGAGGCTGAATTATACAGTAAGCTCCAACAGTCAGGTGAACCACGTGCTTTAGGCATGACCAGAATCCAAGAGCCTCTCCAAAAGCCCCCATTCTCATGGTTTCCTGGTAAAATACAAGTAACTGCAAACAGGAAGATCTGGTACACTGTTCCCAACATGGAGTGGCCACAGCAGGTATTGACTGAAACTTCAGCTACTCAGGAAGACACCCTATCATGACCCTGGGATTAGGATTCCTTCCCGCAAGGCTTTGTCACTGCACTCCACACTCCTTGGGATTGTCCATTTCATCTCCTTCAAAGTCCGGCTTCAAACTCTTTTTTTGCTCAATTTCCACCTGCCAAGAATAGAAGTTGGAGATAAAGATCAAAAAGAAGAGAAAAGCATGCAAATAAATAAATAAACCAAAACTCCATAGGTGCTTTGAGATTTCTTGTAAGTTTGCTAACATTCTGGGCTTTAGCCACATTGGAGCTACTGGCCCTGAGTATATCATATCTCTCTCTTTGTACATGTTCTTTGATTGGTCTGTAATTCCCTTTCCCTCATGGTCCACCAGGAAAATTCTTATTCTTTGCCTTGTACATTTGGTCAAAGGTCACCCCTTCTGTGAAGCTATTTTTGACTTACTGAGTAGAATCAGGTACTTCTCCCTGTGAATATCTCCACTGTACCTTGCACACCTGTCTGGCTCTACTATACCATGGGCTCCACAAGACAGGCAGGATCTTGTTCAATATTTTATGCAGTAATGTAGGAATACAGCGGGCAATCGACAAAGATTTATCAAATGAATTAATTCCTTTGTAATTGACTGTTTGCACCCCCTCAATACTTGTTTTTTTGTTTGTTTGTTTGTTTGTTTTTTGAGACAGGGTCTCATTCTGTTACCCAGACTAGAGTGCAGCGGTGCAATCTTGGCTCACAGCTCACCCACAACCTCCACTTCCCAGGCTCAAGTGATTCTCCTGCCTCAGCCTCTAGAGTAGCTAAGATTACAGGCACGCACCACCACGCCTGGCTAATTTTTGAATTTTTAGTGGAGACAGGGTTTCACCATGTTGGCCAGGCTGGTCTTGAATTCCTGACCTCAAATGATCCACTGGCCTTGGCCTCCCAAAAGTCTGGGATTACAGGTATGAGCCACAGCAGCTGGCCACCTCCAATACTTTCTCTCTTTAGAAAACCTCCAAACTGATAAATACTGGAGTGTTTACAGTTCTACCATATCTTTTGCAACATACTATCGCTGTAGTTATCAATAAATTAATAGATTAATCTTTGAAAGTAATACATCTCAACGGAAATCTTTGATAGCTCAGGCAAGGAATTCTTCGAGTTCAGGGTTCAAGTTGCTCCTCTCAGCACCACTTTGGATATTTATGATGCTTGACCTACATACAGGGTAATGATTCAACACTCAAGAGTCAGGTTTGAGGAAAGTGCTATTTTTTTCCTCGCCACAAGATGGAGTGTTTGTTCCTTTTGGTAGTTAAATATTTTTGCCCACACAACTAAGGAAACATTTAGAGGAACAATAAATCACCATATAAATCCAAGGATATTATTATAAATAGAAAACCACTTTGCAAAATCCTTCTTTAACAAACTCCCTTTCCAATCGTTGGCATTTAATCTCCTATTGAATTTCTAACTCCCCAGGAATGTATCGCTTTCTGTTTATGTCAGAAAACTCTAAGTTTCTTGATTCCTTCCACAGCCCTGATCCTGTTACTATTATCAACGTTTGCTTGGCTTTTGAGTTTTGTCCTGTTACAGCCCAGTACCCCGGTCATACGTGTCCTAACTTCGTTCAGGTCCACTTCATCAACTCTAACTGAAACATATGCTTTGGGATAGCGCTTTCTCTCCTCTACTTCCAAGCTCACTACTCGGTAACATCAATTATATCGCAAATGAATAATAACAACTTTACCCCATTATCCTTTTTCTTTTTTTGAGACACAGTCTGGCTCTGTCACTCAGGTTGGAGTACAGTGGTGCAATCACGGCTCACTGCAGCCTCAACCTCTCAGACTCAAGTGATCCTCCCGCCTCAGCCTCCTGAGTAGCTGGACTACATGCACATGCCACCATACCCGGCTAATTTTTGTACTTTTTACTTTTACATGTTGGCCAGGCTGGTCTTGAACTCCTGAACTCAAGTAATCGGCCCACCTCCACTTCCCAAAGTGCTGGGATTACAGGTGTGAGCCACTGTGCCCGGCCCCCATTATTCTTTTTGTTGTCATTGCTCATAATGACAGAAAGACATTATATTCTCTTTGATGAGCCTCTTTATTTTTTTCCAACCTCTCATCCACTAGCCAGATGATGCATTTAAATCAGAGCAGACGCATCCACAGCTATGTAGGCGGAACTTCCTCTAAGGCAGTAAGAGGTTACGAGGCAAGCACACAGGAAGCATGGCTAAAGGAATAAGAGAGGGAGGGTAGTGGGGTGAACAAATGGACTTGGAAGCATTAGCCAGATGCTTCCCAAGGCTACCTGGTAGCTGTAGTGTGCAGAATAATTGACCCACTTCCTGACATCAGTCTTGTCTTCCACGGAGATAGATCTCACGCTGGCTTTGGAGGCAGAAGTTGTGGGCATGCTGAACTCGACATTCACACGATTGGCAAATCTGGAAGGCACTTCCCGGTCAGAGCCGAGTTCAAGGTGGCAAAAGAAACAGTGTGGGTGACCGGAAGCTATGAAAGAAAGACAATCGAGAGATCAGATTATTTGGGGAGAAAGTGGAAGGAGCAGCCAAAGGAGCCACTTCAGTAATAAAGGAGGCCTGTGGGCTCAGCACCTGGCAGGCTTTCAGCGGGTCCAGTGTTGAGCAATAGGATCCGCCCAGCTCAGCAGAATTCACGCTCTGTGTGCCTCAGCCCCTTGATATAATTCCATCGGATTCTAGCAGCCTGGTATCCCAGCAATAAAACCCAAGGCCTGAGACAGGGGCCATCCTGCCTGCTCGGGTGACAGTGAGATGTGAACACAGCCCAAACACTAAGAAATAAGCGGTAAGGATGTAAAGAATGGAATAGAAGGGATCAGCACTTGGCACCTAATAAAGTATCAATGACAGCTTCCTGGAGCAAATCATTGCTTTCCTTTGACGAATGAACTGATTTTCTTAATAGCATTTCATAGTTTCAAAATGCTTTTGGCATGCTTTTGTGCGTGAATGATATACGTAAATGACAGACTTTATAAATAGCACACAGATATTAGCGAGGCATATGGAACACTGCGCAAAACACCAACCAGCAGAACACCTGGGTTGGACTTCCAGCTCCCCTACCAAGCAGCAGAGCTCCTGCCCTCAAGTCCTTTATAGTCTCCAGGCCTCAATTCCTCCTCTGTAAAGTGGGGAGATTAGGGTACGAGGAAACAGTACAACATGGTGGACTGGACAATGCCAGGCACAGTCCCTTGCTGCTCCTTAATTCTATACATCTATGGGTAATTCCACTATACTCGTGATGGCAAACTTCGGGTTTGATTTTCACTCGAGAATTGTTATTGAGATTTTTGAGGAAAAAGAGTCAGAGCTTAGTTCTATGACCATAACCACTGAAAACACCACTGTCATTCATCTGCCATATAGGAAGCATTGACGCACCCTATACTCGTTCGATGTTTTTTTTGGAGACGGAGTCTCACTCTGTCACCCAGGCTGGAGTGCAGTGGCGCGATCTTGGCTCACCTGCAACCTCCGCCTCCTGGGTTCACGCCATTTTCCTGCTTCAGCCTCCCAAGTAGCTGGGACTACAGGCACCTGCCACCATGCCGAGCTAATTTTTTGTATTTTTAGTAGAGACGGGGTTTCACCATATTAGCCATGATGGTCTTGCTCTCCTGACCTTGTGATCCTCCTGCCTGGGCCTCCCAAAGTGCTGGGATTACAGGCATGAACCACCGCGCCTGGCCTCAATGTTAAATCCTTTACACAGATTCTCTCTTTTGAGTCTTCATTAGGATCCTTTGAGGTCAGAATGTTACCTTTGTTTTATAGTTGAGGAAGGTAAGGCTTAGAGAGGTAAAATGAGCTACCCACAGTCACAGCTAGAAAGTGGCAAAGCTAAAAACTGAAACTAGCAGGAGGCCGAGGTGGGCAGATCACGAGGTCAGGAGATCGAGACCATCCTGGCTAACAAGGTAAAACCCCGTCTCTCCTAAAAATACAAAAAATTAGGCGGGCGTGGTGGCAGGTGTCTGTAGTCCCAGCTACTCAGGAGGCTGAGGCAGGAGAATGGCATGAACCCGGGAGGCAGAGTTTGCAGTGAGCTGAGATTGCGCCACTGCACTCCAGCCTGGGGGACAGAGCGAAACTCTGTGTCAAAAAAAAAAAAACAAAAACTGAACCTAGCAGTCTGACCCCAGAGTGTTCTTAACCACTTTGTCTGAGTCATAACCCTCATGGTCCCCAAAACACAAGACCAAGTTTGCAGGGTGACAGGGGTAGAGGGGGATTGAGCTGTAAGAACCCCCATATTGCAACTAGCTGTAGATAAACAACATGAAATGGCCTTGCCTTAATTATGTAACTGAAACAGCCCCTTAGTTATCACAGTTTCCACAAACAAACAATTCCAATGTTCTTTATTGGTCTGGCCAGGACTTTTCAATCTCAGAGAGTGAGGACATACACACCCGCTCTCCAAGGAAAACATTAGATAGTGAAGTATTTGTTTTGCTCTGTTTCACAGACATAACATATTTCAGTGGTTATTTCTAAAGAGTAAAGCTTTGGAAAATTGAAAAATGTGCACTAATTTTAGGAAAAGAATTTAAGTAAGATACATATAACAGTAAAAATTAAATTACTTGAAAATGAATCCATTCAATGTTTTTAAATTGTGTGCCACAGAGGTAATGATACAGCTATCGTTTATGGGACATTTTATTACAGGCCAGATACTGCGCTAAGCCCTTAAAAGCATTATCTCATTTCATTCTGAATGAACTAGATATTAATAACCCTATTTTATAGATGAGAAAAATTAGGTTTCTCTGAGAGGGTTAAGTAAATTGCCCGAGGTCACACAGCCATTAAGTGGTAGAGCTGGAAATAAGATTCAGAGATGACTCTGCCTTCAAACTATGTCCTAAATTCTTCTCAATATATTGCTGTGAAATTAGATCACAACCAAGTATACAGAAGCATCTCTTAATTTAATAGCAACTTGGACAACTCTTTTAATCTAATTACACTTATTTTGCACATTGTTGGAATATGGAGAAATCTTTCCTTTCTACCCAACTGATTCCCTCCTTTTACTCCACCAAAGTGTATTCACAGCAAATTCTGAAAGCAGCATTCTTTCCTAGAATCTTAGCATCAGCTCTCAGATGGGTAAGGGTGGTGGACAGTTAAGGAAGTTCAATTTTGAAAGCTATTGTGGTTTAATTCATAGTAATGCATTAAATAAGTCCACACATACTGTCATTGTCCTTGATGAGGTTGAGAAAATTCAACAAAAAATTCAGATGTTTAAAATTTCCCATACAAGGATGATCATATTGGGACTGTTTTCCCTCTACCAGGTCTAATGAGAACGGGGGGTTCCTGCAAAGAAAGCCACATATGCAGGACAGAATGTTTCATTTCCTGGCGATGATCTGTGGAAGCAGCAGGACTTATGTTGGTGCCTTCTAAGATGAAGAAAAACTCCCAGCACTTTGGGAGGCTGAGGCGGGTGGATCACGAGGTCAGGAGGTCGAGACCATCCTGGCTAAGATGGTGAAACCCCGTCTCTACTAAAAATACAAAAAAATTAGCCACGCGTGGTGGCGGGTCCCTGTAGTCCCAGCTACAAGGGAGGCTGAGGCAGGAGAATGGAGTGAACCTGGGAGGCGGAGCTTGCAGTGAGCCGAGATCGTGCCACTGCACTCCAGGCTGGGTGACAGAGACTCCATCTCAAACAAAAAAACAAAGAAAGAAAAACTGTTGGGATGAGGGTGGGCGGGGTCCTTGGAGAGCTCAGAGAGGGGAGCTGCCCACGTATGTGGCTGGGCTGGGCCAGGCTGGGCTGAGCCCCGCCAGCGGGAGTCACGTTGGAATTCAAAGGTGGCTGCTTGGTCTCTTGGTGGCTGGGAATGGGACAAGCCTGCTGTGGCTATAGGCTAGGGATGCCAGCAACACAAGGGTGATGACCTGCTGGCCTCTGTTGCCTGGGCTCTGACTGCCCTGCCCACTGGGGCCTGGGAATGCAGGGCCACGGCAGGCAGGAACGTGTGAGGAGAGGTAGGCTTCCAGCCAGCCGGGCCTTTGACTTCAGCTGCACCCCAGCTTCCTTTAAGAAGGTTAAGGATTACAAAAAATAACCTGTACAAAGCATCTTCCCAGGGCTGTCTGAATACCTAGACAGAAGAGCCCAGGAAAGGGCTATTACTAAAAGATAACCATCAATTCTCTGGGTTCCCGGATGAACACTGCCAAGGAGGGCAGGAGCTGGGCACACTGAATACCAGCAGTGGGTGACAACTTCCATTCTGCCTGGAATTCAGATCCTATATACCGCAAGTTTCTAAAAAGGGTGCTGTCCATTTCCCGAACGGGTATGGAAAACATACCATTGACCAGAGAAGTAGAAGCCGCCTCTTTTTGGGGTTTCACCATTGAAAATACTGTTATATAACCATGACAGTGAAAGCAGTAATGGGGCAAGGCTGTGAGGATTTAAGTAAGAAACATCAACAGATACCCTTATGCTGTGCTATATTTCAAAAATCTTCCACAAACGAGGTTCCAGCAATCTGGAAACAGATATGTAAAACAGCATATAAGCTGCGTTTACTTGCCCTTGAGCCAACAGAACACTCTCCACTGGGAATCATTAAGGAGAGTGTTTGCTGAAGGTCTGGTTGTGCTTTTTCCCTGTCCTGTATCCATCCCCCCTCTTTTCTGATAGCAGTCTTTTTCTTTCTCTCCTTTTGGGAAATAATCTTCCCCAGGGCTACATGTTGTCTTGGTGGTCACGTCAGTCAAAACACACTCCTCTCCCCTAGTCTCTTGAGTCAAGCTGCAAAAGAACAAAAAAATAGGGCCGGGGGCGGTGCCTCAGGTCTGTAATCCCAGCACTTTGGGAGTAGGAGGCAGGCAGATCACCTGAGGTCAGGAGTTCAAGACCAGCCTGGCTAACATGGTGAAACCCTGCCTCTGCTAAAAATACAAAAATCTAGCTACTCAGGAGGCTGATGCAGGAGAATCGCTTGAACCCAGGAGGTGGGAGTTGCAGTGAGCCGAGATCGCGCCACTGCACTCCAGCCTGGGTGACACGGTGAGACTTCATTTAAAACAAAACAAAACAAACAAACAAAAAACAAAAAATAGTCTGTGATGATCTGTCCTAAGGCTACACGCTGAGGAGATATCCATTAGTCTCTATGACCAGAGCTACTCTACTGCTGTCTTTCTAAAGTCTTCTGGATCAGTCTTTTCCTCAGGTCTCTGAGCTATCCCATCCAATAATTTGTTTTGTTGCTTAAGGTAGCCAGTAAATCTTTGTTACTTATAATAATAATAATAATAATAAAAACCTTCATGCAGTACTTTTAAATGTTTGGGAGAAATCCCTTTGAAACAAATAGACACGTTTGTACTCACTGGAAAAACTGCAAATATCTGTTCTTCTGGTGGAAATGATTTCAATATTTGTGTCTATTTGGCTCCATCTATCAGGAGACACCAGTGACAGATTGAGAAAAGGACCCTGGAGGTGACTGCATGACTCTCTAGATGCGTCACATCACCTTCCCGACCTTAATTTTCTCATCTATAAATAACCTGAGTTATCCCCAAGGTCCCTTCCAGCTTGAAAATCCGGTCATTCCATGGTTGTCTCTTTCCAAGGGCTTCCGTGTCAGAGGAGAGATCAGGGTCTTCTCTCTTCCTCTGTCAGGTCAGAGGGGCCCCGTGGATAAGGTAGAAGTTACAGTGCTGCCGCCAGCAGAAGACAGTGCTGAGTTCAGGGGAAATGAATAAGCAGGCACAGAGAGGAACACTTGGTTTTAAAAATTCTGTCAGTTTAGAAATCCAGCCTCAAACACAGAGGTCCAATTGTCTCTTCAGTTTGCACAGCTACACCCAGTGTCTGATACAGAACGCCCTGGTGTGTGTCCATTCCCTGGATTGCCTGGGGAGCTGGCCAGATCATACTGCCGTCTGCCATCACATTGCTTTACACTTAGGATATAATAATACTGCCACTTCACACTCAGAGCGGGAGAGGAAGACTCTGAACACACTGCTAGGATTTATAGTGAGAATGGAAGAAAGGATAGCCACATAAGAGAAAGCCATTTGAATCAAGAGTTTTTCCAAACCTTATTCTTTTTGCTCAGCTAGCATATCCACTTTTGTTAACAGATGGGCAAAATGTATTCTAAACACGAAAAGAAGGGATTTAAAGGCTTACAAGATCATGGGCTTGCTGCCTACCATTGGGGTCACCCAGACATACTCGAAGAAATACATGTATTAGTGCTGGTTTGACTGCTCCCTCACTTTGTCATTTCACTAAATCTCACTGGACCCATGGGGGAAGTAATTGCCTTCTGCATTCACTCAAGCACAAAAGCATCCCTGATAGCTGTGAGCAGCCCAGCTAGGGCTGGTAAGCATTTTTTTTTGTTTGTTTGTCTAAATAAAACATTCTTTTCTTTATATTTTGTCTGCTAGAATTCTGGCCCTTTTAGAAATTCATGTCCTAGCTGGATCTTCAGTCTGATTGAAGGCCACTTTTCTTTCCCATCCCCCAGTCCCAGAGCCAAACTCTGAACCTGAGATATTATGACTGACAGGCCTTGCACAGGGTAGCTGGAGTCATAAAATTAACCTCTCAGTGTATTGTCCATGACTGGCCATAAACTGGCCCTTTTACCTACATCGAGGGCAGTGTGAGAAAGATGTCTCTTCAGAAGCCATCTAGAAATGAATCACTTCCAGCACCACAGCTAATACGTTAATGAGTCCCCAAAGAATATAAATTCAGAAGCTGCCCTGAAAAGCTGCTTAGCAGCTCAGCTGAGAAGAATAATCCCTAATTTTATGGAAGATGTGTGATAATGAGGGGGTGAAAAGACAGAGTGAACTGGGACACTATACGCATTACTTACCTTGCTCAATTATTTTTACTTTTCTGGTCCCACTCCCCCTCCATCACCACTCCCATCACACAGTAAAAACAAGCACTTCATACAGGATGTGGAACTTTGATCTCAGCTTTTTTACAACTGTATGTTTGTTTTCACAGAAGAGGAACCACCACCCACCTGAGTTTTTGTCGGGCAGTCGGTTTATCCTCCACACAATGGAGTTGAAGGCATGCTCATACTTGGCAGTTCCCAGAGTTACTCTCATGACAGGCTCAGAGCCAGAAACACTAGTGGAGCCAAAACTTGCCCCCCGGTTCACTTTGGCTTTCAAAGACTTTTCCCCCAGGACACTTTCCCTGCGGAAGTTTTTCACCCACTCACTGGGCACAGGGTAACGGATCATCACATTCTCACAGGGAACCTGAGTCAGGGGGTCACGATTGGAGGAGAAGCCAGTTGACATCCTCAGCCAGCTCTGCACCTCCACCTCTGCCCCATTGACGCTTGCGGCTGTCCTGAGTGTGAAAGGCAAGGTCTTCTCAGCAAACACTGTCCTGAACCGCATTAGCTCAAACCGGCACGCATCCAAAGGGTTGAACAGAATGACCCGCGAGTTGTGGAATACATCCTCATCCACACACCCGTGGAAACGGCACTCATGGAGCTTGATCCACTTTGTGGTGGTGGTGGGCATGATGTCCTGCCTCAAAACTATTTCATTCCCTTTGACGAGGACGTCATTGAGGCCCAGGCGGCACTCTGCGAGCCCAGACAGGAAACTCAGGATGTGGATCCGCGTCAAGACATGGTGCTGGAGAATCTGGTTGTCTCCTTTGCTCACAGTGCCAGAGAATTCATCTCTGACATCCACTGTAATCTCCTCTTCAAGGTAGTTCAGGCCAACTGTGCTCAAATCCATTGACAACACTGGCAGATCCATGAGACGGTCCTGAACTGCATGGATGAAACTCAGGAAGTCATCGTAATTGGTGGTGCCCAGCTTAATCACCTGTTCCCTCTCTGCTGTGTGGGCCACAGCAGGTTTGGGCTGGTATTTCTTCTTCTCCTTATAGGTGACACGGTCTATCCGCAAGCTGTGGATTCTGCCATTCTCATCATAGTTTTGAAGCCGGGGTTCTGAAATCTCGTGACAGATCTCCAGCTTGAACTCACGGAATGGTTTTTCTAGGCCCTGCTCATAATACAGCTGCAGGTAACCAGCATCTGTCAGTTTGACGTAGATCGGTCCCCAGTGCCTGGAGGACATGATGTTTTTCTTCTCAGGGATCCTCAACATCATTGGCCACCCATCACGGGGCTGGGACCGTGCTGATCCAGGCGGGTGAGCATCTAGTTCAATCCAGGCTATCGGGTCATCATCAGGTAGAGTTGCACTGCCAAAGTGATCAGGGTCATCAATTTGGAGTTGTTTGAGTTTTTCAACAGCATCAGAGTGTGACTGGGTTTTGCTTGAATCATCAAAACTGATGGCATCCTGGTAGATGACAATGAGGGAATCTCTTTGGCTTTTGCCCGTGGTACTGGAAATGGAACTGTTTTGGGAGCGCCTCTCCTGTTCCTCAAAGAAAGCACTGAAAGGGTTGATAGGGGAGGGCTGTACATCCTGCAGAGTCTCATTCAGGAAAGGGTTGGTTGCCCTCCAAGGTGGAGCCTCAGCTACAGAAGGCGTGCGGTTTAAAGAGGAAATGTCCAGCTTCTGAACTTTGGAGAAGTTCATCAAAGTGCTCTTGGGACGGTCCCTCTTCTTAAATGATCCCATTGAATTATAAGGTACATCTGGGATCACAGATGCACTTAGTGGAGTATTTGGCTTCAGAGGAGAGGTGATTGGTGCTAAAGGGCAGCTGACTTCATTGTCATCAAAGGTGACCCAGCTGGGAAAACGAGCAGAGGTCATTGGAGGGGCAGGGTGCCCATTCATGGCTGGACTGCTGGCCTGCCAGCTGATGGCCTCCATTTCTACTTCTTCATCTTCCTGAAGCGAGGAGGAATTGTCTAAAAGGAAAAAGAGAACGTATGAGCTACTATTCAGGGGCTCTAGAGGTAAGGAAAACTGAAGTATGGGAATGAGGGATTACTAGAATTTCAACTGGAATCCAGTACATTCCAAAGCAGCTCATTACCTGTTTCAGGTGCTTAGTCTGGGCGTAGATCTCATATATTTGTAACAAGCACCCCAGAGGAGCTATCGAATTAAGTGCAATAAGAACACAATGGCTATATCAATACAGAAGTATTGACTGGTAGTACCAAGGTCTCTTGCAATTTATATACTCTTCCTTGTTTTATAAAATCTTCTGGAATAGATGTTTTCTGTACTTAGCTTTAAGAAATGTATTGTTAATTTTTAAACATTGAAAACCATCTCCTATATAAAATGATATAAGCTCATCTCACTGAAAAAAAAACAAGTTATCTTCTCTAAGTGATAATATGATTACAAATAATATTCTTGGAGGGATTTTTTAGCCTAAACACAATGAATAAATATTAAACACAAACGGTCAACCTTCTTAATTCACTAAGTTCATACATGTGAATAATAAGAAAAACACAAAAAACCCAACAGAAGTCTGAGTAAAGAACATAAACAGATAATTCATGAAAGAGAAACTAAAAAATGTCTAATAAGTATGTGAAAAATATCCAATCTCACTAGTAATAAGAAAAATGGCCGAGCGCGGTGGCTCATGCCTGTAATCCCAGCACTTTGGGAGGCTGAGGTGGGCGTATCACGAGGTCAGGAGTTCGAGACCAGCCTGGCCAACATGGTGAAACCCAGTCTCTACTAAAAATACAAAAAAATTAGCTGGGCGTAGTGGCGGGCACCTGTTATCCCAGCTACTTGGGAAGCTGAGGCAGGAGAATCTCTCGAACCCGGGAGGTGGAGACTGCAGTGAGCCGAGATCGTGTCACTGCACTCCAACCTGGGCAACAGAGGAAGACTCCGTCTCAAAAATGAAAAATTAAAATTAAAAAAAAAATCAGTGAAGATTCTGAAAGATTTTAGTGCTCAATGAGGGTAAGGGTGCCATAATAGGAGCACTATGTGGGCGCTTAATGAAACTATAAGTTGCAACAGATGCTCTGAAAAGAGACTGGACAATTTATATTAAGGACCTTAACACATGTTCATAAACAATGACTTAGTAATTCTACCCTAAGAAAATAAATCTAAATTATGAACCAAGTTGGAAGAACAGAGATGTTCATTTTGGCATTATTTATAATAGGGAAAAATATTTTAAATATTCAACAATTGGGTAAGTGTTAAGAAATTGAAGCCTACAATAAAATAATACCCACTCACTAAAATGTTTACAAGTATGCCGTATATCATGAGGAAATGCTCATGATATAATCTTTTTCTCTAAAATATTTTTTCCATCTTGAAGTTTATTTTTTATGATAAAAAGGTTATTACAAATAAAACTCCACTTTAGCAGGGCCTTCCAGGAAGGAGATATAGGACTTGGGTTTGATGAGGGAAAGATCTAAATTTTTTCAGTAACCTAAGGACCGTGGGTATCTGCTGGGGCTGTGGGAAGGGAGGGGAAATGAGGCTTTTAGAAAGGAGGAATGAATTCTGATGAAGGAACAGCACAGACAACAAATGTGTGCATACAGTAGGTACTCAATAAGGTTTTTTGATAAAATAAGTGAGAAAATAAACTTTGCTTTAGAGTAGCTCTTCCATTCTCTACGTCTCTGCAGGAATGTGTATGAGAGATCTCTGCTACCATACCACCCACTGTTTCGATGGCCAGTCGTTTGGAATCAAAGGGAAACGGATACTCGAATGATTGAGTTTTCTGACCACCTCACTACGCCTTCATGCGTATCACATCCAACCACACCATCAGCAATGCTGCACATAATCGCACATGCAATTATACAAGGATGGGATGCTGACTTGTCATCCGTCTTTCCAAGTAATTTATTCAAACAGATAGCAATTCTCTCAACTGAAAACGTCGGTTTGAAAATGTTAGGCTAGGCCGGGCACGGTGACTCACGCCTGTAATCCCAGCACTTTGGGAGGCCGAGGCAGACAGATCACTTGGGGTCAGGAGTTCGAGACCAGCCTGGCCAACATGGAAACCCTGTCTCTACTAAAAATGCAAAAATTAGCTGGGCGTGGTGGCACAAGCCTGTAATCCCAGCTGTTCGGGAGGCTGAGGCAGGAGAAGCGCTTGAACCTGGGAAACAGAGGTTGCAGTGAGCCGAGATGGCGCTACTGCACTCCAGCCTGGGCGACAGAGCAAAACTCTGTCTCAAAAAAAAAAAAGAAAAGAAAAAAGAAAAAAAGAAAAGAAAATGTAGGCTAAACACGAGTATGCATATACATATACACATATCCATACCCACCCCAGAAACATAATGAGCAAAAAGCATTTTCTATATATACAGTGACTAAAAAGGATTCTAAAACATTTTTAAATTAAAGATGACAATCTCCTTCAAATTAAGCATGAATCCAGTTTTGTATATACATAAGTGATTTATTTTCTGAAAACTGAAGGGAAAACGGTCAGGAAACAACCTACACTCATAGTTTTTATATTTTATTTATCATTTTGGTAACAACGTCTAAAAGGAACATTGTGGTCCTGAGTGAAATACAATCACTTCCTTGGAATGGTTCTTGATCCTGTCTAGAGAACGGGAAAGGGGTACATCTCAAAACTCATCAATTTCTAATGAGGCAGCTCTAGAGAGTCTTTGTGATGTAGGGTTTCCACCCAAACAATCTCTACTGGCCCACCCCTGGCATCAGGGTTATCTTTTTGTCCTGGAGCTCACTCTCTAGTTTAAAACAAGCTGAAGTCCTTTTTCTTTGCAGGGGGGCTTTCTGCCAAAGCTGTTTACACTTGCTGCCAAAGGATTCCCTTCTGTTGGGAATCTTGTCCTCAAAGCAGCCCTTCTCATCTTCTCCTGAGCCAGAAATGAAAAGAGAAAAAAGGGCCTTTGTCCCAACTGAAGATCATTTTCTTACAATAAATTCCTTTTCAAACTAAGTTAGTTTAAATCACACCAAGTCCTAAACATTTTTGAAACATTAGCGTTATAATACAAACTAAATGAGTGTCTTTAAATTTGAAGGGAAATGTTTGAATTCAATTAATTTCTAGGGATTCTATTTTCTTTTTGACAGTCATTAAAAAATATCAAAAGACTTCGACAAAATTATCTTTCCTTTGACGGTTTCATGTTCCATAATTCCATGAATTTTTAAAACTTATTCTCTGGGATGGTAGCAGAGCATAGGTGAAATTTCTGAAATTGAGTTTTTCTTTTTCTATGAAATAATCTATTTAAAGAAATCCGAGAATTTTAGGAAATAAATTATAAGAGTTTACTCTAAGGAAATAACAGGACAAGCATGCAACGATGTACACAGTGATGTTTATTACGGTAATGTTTCTATCACAGAAAAACATGAAAAAACCTGAATGACCAACAATGGGAGACTAGTTACATCAGTTGTTATATCCTTAAAATGAAATTCCATGTAGCTGTCAAGATGATGCTCTGATGCATGTTAATTCACATGGAAGCTGACTAGGACATATTGCTGAGTGAATAACAAGAAGCACCTAAAATCTGCAGTCAAATTGCTTGGGTTTCAATTCCATACCTATAGCATTTTAGATACGTGATTCTAGGCAAGTCTTAAATTTCCCTCTATCTCAGTTTTGCTATATATTTAATTAGGGAAATATTAAATCCTACCAGACAAGCAAATAATAAATGCTCAGTAGATGTAGGCTATTCTTATTACTACTACTACCACCACCACCACCACCACCACCACTACTACTGGAATGATAATGTAGTATGTGTGTATTAGAAAGCTTTGGAATATAATAATCTCATAATATTTTGGTGTGAAAACAAATCTCTCATGGGATAAGAGGTGATTTTAAAAATTTGAAATCTGTATTCTTTCTTTCAAAAACTGTGATGTTGCTTACAAAAGAAAGCAACATATCATTATAATAGAAGTTATAATAAAAGTTCAAAACATCTCTTTATTACTACTACTAATTAACCTTAGAAAAAGGAAATAAACTGCTTAGCTGTAGTCTGTATTGAGAAAGCAGCGGTTAGATCTTTCCCAAGACAATTATTGCCGGTGTGGCTGGGACTGGAAACAACGAGAGGGGGAAAAGCTGGCAAATTTCTCCAGCAAGAAATAGGCAAAAACCAAGTATCTTGAACACAAAACTAATTCTTCTCCACAATTCAATTTACTGATTTATTAAAATAAAACAAAAAACTAAACTCCAGCATGATTTTAATTACTGTCTCTTCCACTGGCTACCTCCAAATTGTTTTTATTATGAGTTGGGCTGCTGCCAAACAAAAGCCATGTGTAAGGATTAGGTTCTCATTCAATAGCACAGGGAAAATTTCCAGTACCTAAGAGGTTCCTAGTGTCTTTACTGATGCCAACTGAAGAGAAGTGGTGGATTCTTTTAATGTTAGGCCACAATCTATTTCAAGTTCCTAAAAGATTAAATTAAATAAAGTGATTTCAGTAGTCATCAAAGCCACTAAAACTGAATAAAAAGTAAGAACTATGGGAGGAAAATTAAGTGTCTATATTTTGAACACAGAGACTCTACTATCTTCTTTCCCTTATTTGTTAACCTAATTTGTTAATGCAGTGACAAATACAAAAAAAAAGTATTGATAAATGTTCACTGGAATTTATTAGGAGTGGCAAGAACAAATGTTCTAAGATCATTGCAGGCTTCTAAACATGCAGCAGCAGTGACTGTTACATAACGGCATATAAAGGCATACCTCGTCTTTTTGCACTTCACAGATACTGCATCTTTTATTAACAGAAGATCTGTGGCAACGCAAAGTCTGTCAGCACCATCTTTCCAACAGCATGTGCTCACTCTGTCTCTGGGTCACATTTTGGCAATTCTCACAATATTTCAAACATTTTCACTATAAATATATCTGTTACCGTGATCTGTGAT